AGCTTCTCAAGCCCTGATAGAAAAATGATCATTTTGCTGTGAAGGTTGGAACCGTTGGAATTTGTGAATGGCAGTCAGCAGATCACTGCATTTTTGCACGTTTCGTTTGGGTCGGATGAGATTGAACTCTCAAAGAGATGCGCGCATCTTCGCGATCAAATCGGCGAATAGTTCAACCCTCCCCATAACTTCATCATAAAAGGTTTTTGGGAAGCCCTAACATTATGTTGATTCCCTAGCTCCGTCATGGTCTGTCCTTCTTGGTCTGAACTCGATTTGCACAAGAAGTTAGCGTTGATTCCTCCTTGTGGTTTTCCCTTTCCTATTGCGCTTTCCGTATTGTAATATCCTCGGGAAGGCAGATGGAGATGGAATCTAGTAAACCTGGATGGATACCTCCCAGGTGGTCTAGGCCCTGGGTCTATCAATGCCAGACTCGTCTGGAAAGATAGAACTTCTGAATTGTGCATCCGCAATAGGCTAAGAGTCATGGTATAGGCAACGTACGCATACAAACGCCGTACGTCTTTTAATGGAAGGAATGCGGTGGTGCTTTTCGAAAACGGGATTGACCAAGAGAAAGGGAGCGAGAGACGGTGATGGAGACAGATACAGATACTCCGATCCTTCGAAGGTTCAAGGCCAAAAAGTAGCTGTAATCAGCGTATAGGTAGAACTTGTTACCTTATACTTATTTTGAACTGCTTGATGTTGATATCCGGATCAGCCCAAAGGAGGTCCAGTGGTAGTGATGGATTTGGTGGATCCTACAAATAATTATATCGATGTTCAAATAATCCCATGCCCTCGCACAACAGTACGATAGACAACTATGATTATGAATGAGCACGTACGAAAATGGGACGACGGATCTCATTCAGGATGGACAGCGAAGGTGCTGTGAGAAGTGATGGGGACAGGCCGCCGTGCATACAAAGAATCCGATCCGCTACCAGTGCGGACAACGGCATCACTGCGAATACTTCCTAAAATACAGCACATAATATCATCTATGTTCTTCACCTTCGAGAGTTGTCATTTTTGGTTCAGTGCTGCCGGACGAATACCGCTACACGTCATCAGTTCTGGAATCTATCCCCTCGAGCCTAACGGCTAACTCGCTCCTAATGGGTCGGTATTATTTGTGAAACCAGACTTGACTGGGATGAAGAGACTCTTACTTGGATATCCGTTCCCTGTCTCCTCACCGAATTAATACATACTCTGAATATGCAGCCGAATGTCGTCAGTATTCCCAATTTTGAATATGTGGAGGCTTCGGTAAACAGCATTAGTCAATGCTCAGGAGGTTGCCCTTCATCCTTTTTTGGGCGGAAAAATTTGGCCATGTAGGCACACCATCTGCGAATACCCTGAGTCTGGGCTGATTCCTGTACAAGGTTGGTTGAAAGGTGCATTATCTGATGAGTAGGACTGATATGGGGACAAAATGCATAAGCTCTCTCCCCTGCATAAGTCCTGACTTCTTTATCATTCGTGTTAGCCATCCTCTGCGACACGTCCATGGAACCGAAGAGAAAATGAGCATTCGCTCAGTACGCCTTTTCGCTTGATTCTGTTAAATTAGGATCATTTCTGTTGCCGCCCAGTTCTGCTTATCTTCCCGGCTTCCCGAACCGCTACCCAGAACTGCTTGAGCCGCTTGAGGTTCCCAAATTCGCTCTAGTAGACGGAGCCAATCTCTTAACTCTCTGCGGCCGAAGTTTGCATGATCTCTCTTAACTCGTCTGGATAAGCGCTCCTCGAAGGCAAACGAAAGTCCACTTCCTAGAATGGTTACTTTTACCTGAAAGGTGTTAT